ACTCATCATCATTCTAGAACATGACAAGTAGTACGGCCTCCTCATCATCATCTTAGTCATATAACAACTCATCATCCGTAGTTATATAATAACTTACCATCAATATAGCACATGACAAGTTAACCAACATTAGCTAATGGTTATCATCGTAGGTAATAAGTCATCATCATTCTAGCACATGACAAATACTAGCCACGACCTACTCCTCTCTCTAAGGAAAAATAGCATAAAAAAGGATAGCTCCTTCATCTAAATTATGGAAAACTCTATTCACCTCTCTCCAATTTGTGGGTTGCGCATCATGTTGCCTACAAGTAGTCCCATGTGCGCATTCATTACTTTCCTCCATCCTTTGATTCCGAGGTCTTCATCTGTCGAGAAATCGAGTATGGACTGCGGAAAACCACCCACAGACTTGGTTGTAAGCTAATAATATCCATATCACCTTCCATAGATAGCAGATGAGGCACACTGTCCTTCGGGAGCTTCTTTTGAAGAACATAATAGTAACATAATTAGCAACACAGTTTAGCTTAAGAAGAATGTATGCAAAAGATGGACTAGTAACACAATAGTAAAAAAATCTTACCATGCTATCTCCATGGATGTTACCATAGTTCAACATGTGGACTAGTGACACGTATTGACCATAATTTTGGCTAATTTCATAATTGATCTTCAAAGTCTCAATATCATTAATAAACAAGACAAGATGATTTTTCTCCTCCCTAGTTCTGCGCCATAATTGTAGTAAGTATCATCTACTACCTTCTGTATATTTCTTTGAGAACGGAAATAAGCTATCAATTATAAATAAACAACTTTAATAGGGATGAATCACAACTATATTAAAAATAAACAATATAAATTACTTAACAAATTCACATGGAGGTAGAATTGGAAGCATGCCCACATCCACACAAATGCTGATATTATATCCAATTTCATCTTCAAGACGAATATTGAAGGTTATTTTCATATCCTCCTAAAATCGGTAGGCCTTGCGTAGTCCTCTCCAATTTGAGCAACCAAAATGTGAGTGATTTACTACATTGTAGAGCTTAACCACAAAAGCTATCTTCTTCTCCACACTCTCCCTATCTTGAAAACTGAGCTTATCGAAGACATGCAGTCCTGCATGGCAAGGGATGCACTAGTCGAATTGTAAAAAGCAGAAATTACATGTTGAAGCAAAGAAGCACAAGTCATGCTTCTAAGGTTTCCTCCAGCGTAATGGTGAAGCACCTACCATTTTGCAGGTGAGGCCTGTCGCACATACCCCGACCATCGTTGCACTAATCACACTCAGGGGTCCTATCTTTGTCAGACATTTCCTGTGTTCGTAATTCAAAGATAAAAAATCGACGACAAATAGCAGGAACTCAACACACAGATCACTATTCAGCATGAGTTGACTTCCGGTCTGTCGAGTCTTCCTCGAAAAACTCTCATCTCTCATGGTGTATATGGTGATGGGCACTCCCTCTCTTATATTGCGACCGCCGGTAATGGTCGCTCCTCCCTTCTTTCCGAGTGCATTACACCAAAATGTCTAGCACCCGGGAAAGAAGAAGAAGTGACCCCTATAACAAGAGTCGGGCTCCTTCCTCTCTGATATTTCGACCGTATATGGAGGACACTCCCTCTCTGATATTTGCGACCGTCGGTGATGGTTGCTCCTCCTTTCTGTCCAAAGTGCAATATACCAAAATGTCTAGCACCTGGGAAACAAAAAGTGACCCCCACGACAACAGTCGGGATTCTTCCTCTCTGGTATTTCGACCATATATGGTGGACACTCCCTCACTGATATTGCCACCGATGGTGATAGTCGCTCGCCCTTTCTTTTCAAAGTGCATTACACCAAAATGTCTAGCACCTGGGAAAGAAGAAAAAGCGACCCCCACGACAACAGTCGGGCTTCTTCCTCTCTGAATGTCACACTAGGAGTCCCAATAGAATAAAAGTCAACCCATTAAATATATGGAGTAATGACATAAAAAATGGTCAATTTTTGCCGGACTATCGTTTAATTCCCGTTCGGGAAAATCACGGGAACTCGATGTGTCCTACTTTTTAGCACAAGTCATGCACACATTCACGAAAAATTTCAGCATGACCTTTCCTAAAAACAGGACATATTGAGCGCCTGAAATTTGCCGAAACGTAAATGAATCAACATTTCGGCAAAACATAGGCCACTTGGAGTTTCCCAGCAATAGGCAGCGACATATGTGGCCATCTTTGGCACCACATTGCATTTCAGTGATTCAATTTTGACAAAGAACATTGCAATATATTTTTCAACCCTAACATTTCATTTGGACAACAAGCATAGCTAAATACCCTAGTTCTTCAAGAAAGTAGCTCTCTCTCTCTCCCCCTCTCCCTCTCCCTCTCCCTCTCC